ACAGTTTCCCATCAAGCTCGCTTTTGCGTGTACAATACACAAAGTTCAAGGGATGACAACGTCCTCGGCCGTGGTCTCACTGAAACACATCTTTGAACCCGGCATGGCCTACGTTGCTCTGAGCAGAGTGACCTCTCTGAGTGGACTCCACATTCTAGACATGGATGAGAGGAAAATCTATTGCAACCCTGAAATCACTGTAGCTCTTGAAAACATGTCTAAAGCTTCACTTGAACATGTCATGCCTCTCCTCAAGATCCCAGAAACATTGAGCAGGCCAGACACTCTCACTGTCATTCATCACAACACAGAAGGACTACCAGCTCATATCACCGACATCAAAAGTCACCATGAACTACATCTTGCAGACGTGCTCTGTCTCACTGAAACTCATCTGCGAGGATCCTTTGTTGCTGAGAGTCTCCACCTTGAAGGCTACAACATGTTCAAACGTAACAGAAACGTGTCTTATTCAAACCATCCTGCCATGGCCACTAAAAACGGTGGCGGAGTTGCCATCTATGTGAAAGAACACATCAGAGTCCTTGAGAGACATTTCATTCAAAATGCCACTGATATTGAGTTCAGTGTCATCAAACTTGAAGCTCCTTTCAGGGCTCTAATTGCTGCCGTCTACAGGCCTCCTGACTACGATGTTCACTCATTCATATCCAACCTCAGAAGTCTCTTGGATTCACTGGAAGTCATGGATCATCATCCCATCTTAGTCTGTGGAGATTTTAATGAAGATTTGCTGTCCAGAGCAAGGAAGCCCATTCTTGAACTGTTTCAGTCCAAAGGTTATGAACAACTCATAACTGCTGCAACCACAGAGAAGAACACGCTGCTTGACCCCATTTTCATCTCTTGCCCACAGTCCTGTATCCATTCTGGCGTGCTGCGGACATACTACAGTTACCACCACCCTGTCTACTGCGTGCTCACTTTAGAAACACCCTAAAAAGAACTGGCTGGTTTAAAATCGAGAACTTGTTGCAAAGTTAAGGAAAAAAAAAATTATTGCGTCCATAACTGTCGGTTTACACGCTGCGATTTAAGAGAAGAGTTTTAATTATTGGTTTCCTATTCGATCACCTAACGAAACGTTGTAAACATAGTATATTTTAAGATGGGGGGGTCGTCCTCAGCAGCCAGGCTGTAACACCTGCTCTGGCTGCTCTAGCTTTTAAAAGGCTGGGAGGGAGGGATGGTCAGACGGCCCTCCTATACCAAAGAAAAACATACCTGCAAATACTTTCTAGTCACTGTACAATGTGAGATTAAAGACAATATATGAAACTTTAATACATTTATGAAAAATACAGTGAAGTAAAATGATGCAAAGGTCAGTACATTATTAGTAGCATTTAAAAAAAAAAAAATTAAAATATACAGTGAGACAAATTAAAAACAAGCTAATTTAAAAGAAATAAAAACTGCCACTGAAACTATTATGAACTAATGAAATATTATAAACAAATTATATTTTAAGATGAGGGGGTCGTCCTTAGCAGCCAGGTTGTAACACCTGCTCTGGCTGCTATAGCTTTTAAAAGGCTGGGAGGGAGGGATGGACCGACGACCCCCTCCTATACCAAATTATATAGAAATACATTTCAAAATATACAGTGAGACAAATTAAAAACAAGCTAATTTAAAAGAAATAAAAACTGCCACTGAAACTATTATGAACTAATGAAATATTATAAACAAATTATATTTTAAGATGAGGGGGTCGTCCTTAGCAGCCAGGTTGTAACACCTGCTCTGGCTGCTATAGCTTTTAAAAGGCTGGGAGGGAGGGATGGACCGACGACCCCCTCCTATACCAAATTATATAGAAATACATTTCTGCAAGTCGTTATGTCCTGCCATTTACTTTGAGTAGTGGCAGGAAGGTCTGAGGATGCATTACTGCTCCTCATTTCTCTTGAACGACTTGGTGTGGGCGTAAGGTAAGAACAATATTGATCTTTCATATATACTAGCTGCAGGACTGCTCCATTTTAAATGTGAAAATACACGTTGTTTTACTGGATTTGTTTGTCTGAATCTCTCTGTTCATTTGTTTGGGTTTAGGCACCTGTGCCCTCCAGACACCAAAGATGTGGGGTGATGACACTAGAACTCCAGCTCTGTGCTCAGTGTGTCCCAAGGGCCTACCTTGGAGAGGGGAAGACACATTTCATCCTAAGAGAGCATCAGGTCAGCCTATGATTTTGATATCAAGACATTTGCACTCTGAGTTTGTTGCCTTTTACTGTTTGTGTTTGTTTCTGGTGGTCTAACAAAGGAGATAAGGATGAGCCTCTCTCAAAAGAACATCCATTGGTGAACCCTCTGTCTGACACTTGGTTGTATTCACACCTTCCTGGGCTGAGAAGTTCGTCACCAAGTCTTTCACAGCCGTGTAAATTTACGGGTAGGAGCTGCAAGTGCCACAGTGAGAAGAAACAATTCTACCTGTAAATTCCCTGAACATGTGCATGGTGAGTGACAGTACAGTTTATTCCTTTTAATCTAAGGCTGCCAATAATTTCTCAATGATGCTCCATGGCATTTTGAAGAAGTTCTTTTTGTCTGGTAGAGTGTCACAGTGGCAGCCCCACACTGGCAGAGCAGCGCCTGAGCAACAGTTCCAGAGTACTGCAGCTAGACAGCTGTGTCTATCAACTTGAGGAGGACCCACACACATTGTAAGTTGACTTAAATGTTGCAGTGTCTGTTTTCTGGTGTATTTAAATCAATCTGTAAAATTTCATCTGGTTTCACAGTTTTTCTCTCCTGTTCAGTGCTTCAGAGAGAGGTGAAGTTGGATGTGCTGTGCATGCGTCACCATCCTGACAAGGGGTGCCGCCATTGATCTTGAACGGGACTCAAGCATGTTGTGAGTCAACTGAACAGTTTATTGATCATGAAGAGTTTTGTGACATTTGCTAGAAAAGTTTAAAGGTATTGATAATAAACGTAAAGTTTTGTCTGCCAGTGCTGTACAGGAAACCAAACCCTCTCCGTGTGTGACCGATTAGCGGGAGAGAACTTCTGATCCAGGATTGGACAAGTTGTTGCTCACACAATGCTGGACCTCTAACGGGTATGTACTTGTCTTCAGCAGTCACATTATTTCTTTGTGTTCATCTGATGTGACAACCTTCTCTCCTCTCTGTACATCACAGAAGTCGACATGAGCTGAAGAACTAGAAAAGTCCTGCAGATCTTGTGACTGTGGATTCTTAGAACCAAGCACCGAGTCTACAGCAGAGAAGGGTTCTGACCTGGGGAGCAACAGCTCTGAATTTCACCAAGTGTGTTTCATCTTCAAAATCTTTGACTTTTCCACACTACAACCAGTTGTGTAGGATTTCAGTTTGTCGTCTGTAACACCGGTGTAAACTGTTGTCTTTTCCTCTCAACTCATCACAGAACCAGCTCGACATGAGCCACAGAGCCAAACCCAGCAACCATGTGACCCTGGAGCCATGTGATCTCTGCTGAGCTTAGAACTCTAAAATACTGCATGCTCAGCCGTCCTGGTAGGGGATCCCTCTAAGACCTGGCCTACCCAAAGGTTTCTTCCTCTTATCCTGAGAAAGCTTTTTTGGGGGAGTTTTTCCTGACATGCTTGGAGGGTCGAAAGGCTGACGGTGCCATATACCCCAGATTTTTTTTCTGATTCAATGTCAATAAAGAAAGTAAATGAAATTCTGGAGTTTTAATTTACTTATATGAAAGAATGAATGAATGAATGACACATGCTCACAATCACAACAATTTAAATGTGTGAAATATGAAAGTTTGAATCTCTTGAAATGAATAGAAAATTGTAAAAAAATTGGCATGAATGGTCAGAATGATTAAAATGGGGGAAATTAAAAGCTGAAGCCACTGCCAGATGGAAATTTAGTAGGTTTAGATAAGGGTTCAAAACAATACTAAGAAATTTTAATCAGCCCGTGGTTCCGCACTGTTGTCCAGCTCTAAAAATACAAGCTATCGTGTAGGAACAAGCCACAAAAACTTCACAGAGCAGGAAAGAGTGAGAAGCAACTTCCCAGTCAGCTTTGTGTCTCCAGGTGCACTAATTGGTTGCCATGCTGAAGGTAAATACATCACTACAGCAGAAGAAAGAAGGCTTGAAAACAAAACAAGAAAGTGTAAAAAATTAAAATGATTAAAATCATGAAGTATGAAGGAGGTTTGAGGCATCAGGAAGGTTTTAATCATTTCGAATAAGTTGCATTTAGTTTGAAGAAGTGAATAATACATGAATAGTGAAAATGATATGAAACGGATAATTAAAATGATTAAAAATCTTGAAGTATCAGAAAGGTATGAATCAAATTGAAAGAATTAAAAAAATTTTTGAAGAATTAAATAATGAGACTGATTTGAAAGTAGGGAACATTTGAATAGATAAAAATCCTGAAAACTAGATGGTTTCTGTAGGTCAAAGTTTGTGGGAGGAGATAGGTGACAAATTTTGCCAAATAACTCTAGTAAAGGGTTATAAATGTAACCCCCAGTACTCTGTGTACTGAGCCTGGCTTCATGTGTCTCATATGGCTGTTAGAAGCAGCTTTCCAGCCAGCTGTGTGTCTCCAGGTGCTCTTATTGGTTGCCATGGTGACGATAGATGCTTAACAACAGCAGGAGAAAGGAGGCTTGAGGCTGAGAACGTAATGCCCAAACAACGTCATATTTCTCATCCTCTGTAACTGCTATCTCCATGATAAGGAGCTTGTGGGAACCACAAGACCCGACTGAACACGTTGATACAACTTCTGTGTCTGTGGAGCCAAAAATGCCTTCACTACGACAAGTTAAAAACATGTCCAGTTCATGTTTCCTCTGAAAATCCTCCTCTCAGGTTTATATTGGAGTCAATGGAGAAAGCTGGAGAAATCTGGGGGATGTCTGCGGCAGTTGGTGTCTGCCCAGGCCACTGTGTGTGTCCAATGGCTTTGATTTTTTAGATGAAGAGTGACAGCGAGTTTTGCCATCACTGTACCAAATTTTATCTGTGTAGAGCGAAGTGAGTTGCCACAATCCTTTTGTAAAGACAAAGTTTTGAGGATCAATTTTCAGCCTGTCTCACTCTAGCTGTGAGGTCACCCACTCTAGCTGCCAACATTCCGTGCAATACACACTAATGTTAAAACCTGAACAGGTCTGAAAATCTTTGGACTTTTTGAACTGTCACTGTGAGAAAAGTATGAATGCCATGAAGATGGTGAATGAATGAGTGAATGTCTGAAGATGTGTGAATATTTTAAAGTTTGAATGAAGTTTCTAGGTGAAAGTATGAATGAATGAGAAGAGGTTGAAGTTGACTACGTCTGAAAGCCTTTTCCCATTGAATCCCATTATAACGAAGTTTTAAACAAATCTTAATATTTTGAAAAGTACAAATGGGATTAAAAATGTTGAAGATGTGGAATAATGCTGACGAATTTGTGAATATTTTGGTTTTTGAATGAAGTTTCTACTTGGAAGTATAGTGGAGTTGAAGGCTTTTGAAGTTGTGTGAAGAAAATGTGAGAAAAGGGCCAATTTGAACATTCCGTAATGCATTTCCAATGGGAGAAATCGGTCGGAAAACCTGGAATATCTCGGAAAGTATGAATGTTAGGAAATTTTTGAATACAAGCCGGAATCTCCTGAATGAGACGAATCTTTTGAAGTTTGAATGGTTTGAATACGTTGAAGTATGTGGAAGGAGAAGCGGTCCAAAAAACGGTGGAAGAATAATAATAATAAAGATATGAATAACATATAGTGGGAATGCTTCGCAATCCCACTCAATAAAGAAACGGGAGAATAACAATAAGTGGAAATGCCTATCAGCATTTCCACTTAACTAGAAAAATTGCATTTCCTTGCAGAAAATGCGTGGAAATGCTGAGTGCTGAAAGCTGAAAAAGCAATGCTAAACTGCTAATAAAACATGGAGAAATGTATAAATGTTAAAGCTGTTGAAGGGGTGTGAAAGAAATGTAAGTTGGATAATTGATTAATTGGTTGAAGGACAAATAGTATGAATATGCTCTATAAAAAGAAATTTTATTCATGCTGAAAGAGGCAAGAAAAATGTCTAAAATTGCACAAAGTTTGAATGAAGAAGGAAATTGCCTTAAAAGGCAGGAAGGTGGGAAGTGGCATAAGTTTAATTTTTTAAGTATTAGAAAGGTTTGAATCAGTTCAAATTAGTTTGAAAAATTAAATGATAAATCATCACTGAGTGACTTTAAAATGTGAAAAATCTAAATGTATATAAATCCTAAATACACCCCATAATGTCCTCAATGAGCTCAAATTTTAAAGCCCTGAATGGTTTCTGTAGGTCAAAGGTCATGTGAGGAGATAGGGGCTGAAGTTTTTTCAAGCGCTCTAGTAAAGGGTTTTAAGTGTCATCCCCAGTGCTATGTGTGCTGAGCCTGGCTTCATGTGTCTCATATGGCCATTAGAAGCAGCTTTCCAGTCAGCTGTGTGTCTCCAGGTGCACTAATTGGTTGCCATGGGGACCTTGGATGCATAACTATAGCAGGAGAAAGAAGGCTTGAAGCTAAGGAAACAGGACTCCAAGTAGGCCCTGACGCTCATCCTCTGTATATATTCATAAGGAGCTTGTGAGAACACAAGACTCTGCTGAACACATTAATACAATTTATTATCACAATCCTCAAAACACCCCATAATATCTTCAATGAGCTGAATTTTTCAAGCCCAGAATGGTTTCTGTAGCTCAAAGTTTGTGGGTGGAGATAGGTGGTGAAGCAGACACATATTACCTGTGTGTACAAGCAGGTGAACTGCAAGGTAGACCTGACAATGCAACAAGTACAAGAATGTGTGTGTGTGTGTGTGTGTGTCTCATTAATGACTGCATCCCTAACAGCTGTGAGATCAAAGGCAAATCACTGACCTACTGTTTGAATGAGAAGCAGCTGAACTGCTGAGGATTTATAGCCTGTGAACTTCTTCACATAGCGTGATTTCCTTAAGTCCCAGAATGAAAATAAGAACATCGTACGAATCCTCCGTCCTTCATGAACACAATGATGTGTTTTTCATTTCTGTACTTCGAAAAATGAGGCCACAACAGCGAGTTAAAAAAGTCTGAGCCTGAGTGATGATCCGGATTTTCTTGGAGAAAAATAACATTAGGGCCAATGGGGAGAGATTTGCGCCTATTTGGACAGTTGGTCACCTGCTGGCCAAGGGGTACGAGTTAATGATTTGAAACCTCATTAGTGAGAAGCAGGACACATATACCTCCATTTTGATGTATTTTTTGTGTCTGTGGAGTGAGATTTGTGGGCGTGGGAGCGATATATTCGAGCGAGGTTCTGTCGATCAGAGACGAGGTCTGCACTCTAGCTGATGACATCATCACTCTAAACTCTCCAATACACACCCGTTATAAAGCTTGAAATTTGCTGAAAACCACAAGTTGCTTAAAGCTAAATTGTGGAAAAACTGTAAAAGATATCAAAAAACTGAGTACAACTATAATAGTCGACAAGTGAATGAACATTTTAAAGCAAAAATGAGGTCTCTAGGTGAAAGTATGCTAGAGTTATAAGGTCTAGAAGGTGGAAGAAAAAAAGGAAGAAGTGGAAGATTTCCCCATTGACTTCAATGTTAAAATTTTTGCACAAAAAGTTAAAAAAATCAAAAAGTATAAAGGGTAGAAAAGTGAAAAGTAATAGCACACATGTCCTGAAGGAGTAGAATAGTTTAAAGTTTGAATGGTTGAAATCGGACAAAGATTGAAGGAGGAGAAGCGCGACAAAAAACGGCGGAAGAATAAAAATAATAATAAGATTAAAGAAACGGGAGAATAACAATAAGTGGAAATGCTTAATCAGCATTTCCACTTAACTAGAAAAATTGCATTTCCTTGCAGAAAATGCGTGGAAATGCTGAGTGCTGAAAGCTGAAAAAGCAATGCTAAACTGCTAATAAAACATGGAGAAATGTATAAATGTTAAAGCTGTTGAAGGGGTGTGAAAGAAATGTAAGTTGGATAATTGATTAATTGGTTGAAGGACAAATAGTATGAATATGCTCTATAAAAAGAAATTTTATTCATGCTGAAAGAGGCTAGAAAAATGTCTAAAATTGCACAAAGTTTGAATGAAGAAGGAAATTGCCTTAAAAGGCAGGAAGGTGGGAAGTGGCATAAGTTTAATTTTTTAAGTATTAGAAAGGTTTGAATCATTTCAAATTAGTTTGAAAAATTAAATGATGAATCATCACTGAGTGACTTTAAAATGTGAAAAATCTAAATGTATAAAAATCCTAAATACACCCCATAATGTCCTCAATGAGCTCAAATTTTAAAGCCCTGAATGGTTTCTGTAGGTCAAAGGTCATGTGAGGAGATAGGGGCTGAAGTTTTTTCAAGCGCTCTAGTAAAGGGTTTTAAGTGTCATCCCCAGTGCTATGTGTGCTGAGCCTGGCTTCATGTGTCTCATATGGCCATTAAAAGAAGCTTTCTAGTCAGCTGTGTCTCCAGGTGCACAAATTGGTTGCCATGGGGACCTTGGATGCATAACTATAGCAGGAGAAAGAAGGCTTGAAGCTAAGGAAACAGGACTCCAAGTAGGCCCTGACGCTCATCCTCTGTATATATTCATGATAAGGAGCTTGTGAGAACCACAAAAACTGCTGAACACATTAATACAATTTATTATCAAAATCCTCAAAACACCCCAAAATGTCCTCAATGAGCTGAATTTTTCAAGCCCAGAATGGTTTCTGTAGCTCAAAGTTTGTGGGTGGAGATAGGTGGTGAAGCAGACACATATTATCTGTGTGTACAAGCAGGTGAACTGCAAGGTAGACCTGACAATGCAACAAGTACAAGAATGTGTGTGTGTGTGTGTGTGTGTGTGTCTCATTAATGACTGCATCCCTAACAGCTGTGAGATCAAAGGCAAATCACTGACCTACTGTTTGAATGACAAGCAGCTGAACAGCAGAGGATTTGAAGCCTGTGAACTTCTTCACATAGCGTGATTTCCTTAAGTCCCAGAATGAAAATAAGAACATCGTACGAATCCTCCGTCCTTCATGAACACAATGATGTGTTTTTCATGTCTGTACTCCGAAAAATGTGGCCACAACAGCGAGTTAAAAAAGTCTGAGCCTGAGTGACGATAAGGATTTTCTTGGAGAAGAAATACATTAGGGCCAATGGGGAGATATTTGCGCCTATCTGGACAGTTGGTCACCTGCTGGCCAAGGGGTACGATTTAATGATTTGAAACCTCTTTTGTGAGAAGCAGGACACATATACCTCCATTTTGATGTATTATTTATGGCTGTGGAGTGAGATTTGTGGGCGTGGGAGCGATATATTCGAGCGAGGTTCTGTCGATCAGAGACGAGGTCTGCACTCTAGCTGATGACATCATCACTCTAAACTCTCCAATACACACCCATTATAAAGCTTAAAATTTGCTGAAAAACACAAGTTGCTTAAAGCTAAATTGTGGAAAAACTGTAAGAGATATCAAAAAACTGAGTACAACTTTAATAGTCGACAAGTGAATGAACATTTTAAAGCAAAAATGAGGTTTCTAGGTGAAAGTATGCTGAAGTTATAAGGTCTAGAAGGTGGAAGAATAAAAGGAAGGAGTGGAAGATTTCCCCATTGACTTTAATGTTAAAATTTTTGCACAAAAAGTTAAAAAAATCAAAAAGTATAAAAGGTAGAAGAGTGAAAAGTAATAGCCATAATGTCCTGAAGGAATGGAATAGTTTAAAGTTTGAACGGTTGAAATCGGACAAAGTTTGAAGGAGGAGAAGCGGTCCAAAAAAGGGACGGAAGAATAATAATAATAAAGAAAAATGGCCGACAGGAATAACAATAAGTGGAAATGCTTAATCAGCATTTCCACTTAACTAGAAAAATTGCATTTCCTTGCAGAAAATGCGTGGAAATGCTGAGTGCTGAAAGCTGAAAAAGCAATGCTAAACTGCTAATAAAACATGGAGAAAGGTATAAATGTTAAAGCTGTTGAAGGGGTGAAAAAGAAATATAAGTTGGATAATTGATTAATTGGTTGAAGGACAAATAGTATGAATATGCTCTATAAAAGGAAATTTTATTCATGCTGAAAGAGGCTAGAAAAATGTCGAAAATTGCACAAAGTTTGAATGAAGAAGGAAATTGCCTTAAAAGGCAGGAAGGTGAGAAGTGGCATAAGTTTAAATTGTAGTACTAGAAGTAGTATGATAAGAAGTCAAGTCGTGATACTAGTAGTCATGTCAGCAGTAGAAGTAGATTGAGAATAAAAGAAGTATAAGTCAAAGTAGTAAAGAAAGTAGAAATAGGAGCAATAGCAGTTGAAGTAGAGGGGAAAGTTCTAGTTTAATTGACATTAGCAGTAGTTGTCGTACTTGAGGTAGGATTTTGTTTGAATGATGGAGTAATGCATAAATATTAAAACTAATTTAAAACAGGGAAATTTTAAATTTTTAAAAGTCCTCAAGTATCAGAAAGTTTTGAAGTATTAGAAAGGTTTGAATCAGTTTGAATGAGTTTAAATTAGTTTGAAAAATTAAATGATAAATCATCACTGACTGACTTTTAAAATGTGAAAAATTTAAATGAATAACAATCCTAAATACACCCAATAATGTCCTCAATGAGCTTAAATTTCAAAGCCCTGAATGGTTTCTGTAGGTCAAAGGTCATGTGAGGAGATAGGGGCTGAAGTTTTTTCCAACGCTTTAGGAAAGGGTTTTAAGTGTCATCCCAATTGCTATGTGTACTGAGCCTGGCTTCATGTGTCTCATATGGCCACTAGAAGCAGCTTTCCAGTCAGCTGTGTGTCTCCAGGTGCACAAATTGGTTGCCATGGGGACCTTGGATGCATAACTATAGCAGGAGAAAGAAGGCTTGAAGCTAAAGAAACAGGACTCCAAGTAGGCCCTGACGCTCACCCTCTGTATATATTCATAAGGAGCTTGTGAGAACACAAGACTCTGCTGAACACATTAATACAATTTATTATCACAATCCTCAAAACACCCCATAATATCTTCAATGAGCTGAATTTTTGAAGCCCAGAATGGTTTCTGTAGCTCAAAGTTTGTGGGTGGAGATAGGTGGTGAAGCAGACACATATTAACTGTGTGTACAAGCAGCTGAACTGCAAGGTAGACCTCACAAAGCAACAAGTACAAGAATGTGTGTGCGTGTGTGTGTGTGTGTGTTCTCGTTAATGACTGCATCCTAAACAGCTGTGAGATCAAAGGCAAATCACTGACCTACTGTTTGAATGAGAAGCTGCTGAACTGCAGTGAATTTAGCCTGTGAACTTCTTCACATAGCGTGATTTCCTTAAGTCCCAGAATGAAAATAAGAACATCGTACGAATCCTCCGCCCTTCATGAACACAATGATGTGTTTTTCATGTCTGTACTCCGAAAAATGTGGCCACAACAGCGAGTTAAAAAAGTCTGAGCCTGAGTGACGATCAGGATTTTCTTGGAGAAAAATACATTAGAGCCAATGGGGAGAGATTTCCGCCTATTTGGACAGTTGGTCACCTGCTGGCCAAGGGGTAAGATTTAATGATTTGAAACCTCTTTTGTGAGAAGCAGGACACATATACCTCCATTTTGATGTATTTTTTATGGCTGTGGAGTGAGATTTGTGGGCGTGGGAGCGATATATTCGAGCGAGGTTCTGTCGATCAGAGAGGAGGTCTGCACTCTAGCTTTTCAAATCATCACTCTAGCCTCTCCAATACACCCCTATTATAAAGCCTGAAATTTGCTGAAAACCACGAGTTGCATAAAGCTAAATTGTGGAAAAACTGTAAAAGATAGCACAAAAAGGTTAATACAACATCAATAGTCGACAAGACAATGAACATTTTAAAGCAAAAATGAGGTCTCTAGGTGAAAGTATGCTGAAGTTATAAGGCTTAGAAGGTGGACGAATAACAGGAAGAATTGGAAGATTTCCCCATTCATTTCTATGGGAAAAAAGTTTGGCACAAAAAGTGAAAAATAATAAAAAGTACAAAGGATAGAAAGGAAAAAAATACAAGCACACATGTCCTGATGGAGTGGAATAGTTTAAAGTTTGAACGGTTGAAATCGGACAAAGTTTGAAGGAGGAGAAGCGGTCCAAAGAAACGTATGGGGAGAGTGTTAAGTATAATACTAGAAAAATTGCATTTCCTTGCAGAAAATGCGTGGAAATGCTGAGTGCTGAAAGCTGAAAAAGCAATGCTAAACTGCTAATAAAACATGGAGAAAGGTATAAATGTTAAAGCTGTTGAAGGGGTGAACAGAAATATAAGTTGGATAATTGATTAATTGGTTGAAGGACAAATAGTATGAATATGCTCTATAAAAGGAAATTTTATTCATGCTGAAAGAGGCTAGAAAAATGTCTAAAATTGCACAAAGTTTGAATGAAGAAGGAAATTGCCTTAAAAGGCAGGAAGGTGAGAAGTGGCATAAGTTTAATTTTTTAAGTATTAGAAAGGTTTGAATCAGTTTGAATCAGTTCAAATTAGTTTGAAAAATTAAATGATAAATCATCACTGAGTGACTTTAAAATGTGAAAAATCTAAATGTATATAAATCCTAAATACACCCCCTAATGTCCTCAATGAGCTCAAATTTTAAAGCCCTGAATGGTTTCTGTAGGTCAAAGGTCATGTGAGGAGATAGGGGCTGAAGTTTTTTCAAGCGCTCTAGTAAAGGGTTTTAAGTGTCATCCCCAGTGCTATGTGTGCTGAGCCTAGCTTCATGTGTCTCATATGGCCATTAGAAGCAGCTTTCCAGTCAGCTGTGTGTCTCCAGGTGCACTAATTGGTTGCCATGGGGACCTTGGATGCATAACTATAGCAGGAGAAAGAAGGCTTGAAGCTAAGGAAACAGGACTCCAAGTAGGCCCTGACACTCATCCTCTGTATCTATTCCTGATAAGGAGCTTGTGAGAACACAAGACTCTGCTAAACACATTAATACAATTTATTATCACAATCCTCAAAACACCCCATAATATCTTCAATGAGCTGAATTTTAGAAGCCCAGAATGGTTTCTGTAGCTCAAAGTTTGTGGGTGGAGATAGGTGGCGAAGCAGACACATATTAACTGTGTGTACAAGCAGCTGAACTGCAAGGTAGACCTCATAAAGCAACAAGTACAAGAATGTGTGTGTGTGTGTGTGTGTGTGTGTCGTTAATGACTGCATCCTAAACAGCTGTGAGATCAAAGGCAAATCACTGACCTACTGTTTGAATGAGAAGCAGCTGAACTGCAGAGGATTTAGAGGCTCTAAACTTCTTCACATAGCGTGATTTCCTTAAGTCACAGAATGAAAATAAGAACATCGTACGAATCCTCCGCCCTTCATGAACACAATGATGTCTTTTTCATGTCTGTACTTCGAAAAATGAGGCCACAACAGCGAGTTAAAAAAGTCTGAGCCTGAGCGATGATCCGGATTTTCTTGGAGAAAAATAACATTATGGTCAATGGGAGAGATTTCCGCCTTTTTTGGACAGTTGGTCACCTGCTGGCCAAGGGGTAGGATTTAATGATTTGAAACCTCTTTTGTGAGAAGCAGGACACATATACCTCCATTTTGATGTATTATTTGTGTCAGTGGAGTGAGATTTGTGGGCGTGGGAGCGATATATTCGAGCGAGGTTCTGTCGATCAGAGACGAGGTCTGCACTCTAGCTGATGACATCATCACTCTAAACTCTCCAATACACACCCATTATAAAGCTTGAAATTTGCTGAAAACCACAAGTTGCTTAAAGCTAAATTGTGGAAAAACTGTAAGAGATATCAAAAAACTGAGTACAACTGTAATAGTCGACAAGTGAATGAACATTTTAAAGCAAAAATGAGGTCTCTAGGTGAAAGTATGCTGAAGTTATAAGGTCTAGAAGGTGGAAGAATAAAAGGAAGAAGTGGAAGATTTCCCCATTGACTTCAATGTTAAAATTTTTGCACAAAAAGTTAAAAAAAACAAAAAGTATAAAGGGTAGAAAAGTGAAAAGTAATAGCAAACGTGTCCTGAAGGAGTGGAATAGTTTAAAGTTTGAACGGTTGAAATCGCACAAACTGGGAAGGAGTTGAAAGCGGACGAAAAACGGCGGAAAAAATAATAATAATAATAATAATAATAATAAAGAAACGGGAGAATAACAATAAGTGGAAATGCCTATCAGCATTTCCACTTAACTAGAAAAATTGCATTTCCTTGCAGAAAATGCGTGGAAATGCTGAGTGCTGAAAGCTGAAAAAGCAATGCTAAACTGCTAATAAAACATGGAGAAAGGTATAAATGTTAAAGCTGTTGAAGGGGTGAGAAAGAAATGTAAGTTGGATAATTGATTAATTGGTTGAAGGACAAATAGTATGAATATGCTCTATAAAAGGAAATTTTATTCATGCTGAAAGAGGCTAGAAAAATGTCTAAAATTGCACAAAGTTTGAATGAAGAAGGAAATTGCCTTAAAAGGCAGGAAGGTGGGAAGTGGCATAAGTTTAATTTTTTAAGTATTAGAAAGGTTTGAATCAGTTTCAATCAGTTCAAATTAATTTGAAAAATTAAATGATAAATCATCACTGAGTGACTTTAAAATGTGAAAAATCTAAATGTATATAAATCCTAAATACACACCATAATGTCCTCAATGAGCTCAAATTTTAAAGCCCTGAATGGTTTCTGTAGGTCAAAGGTCATGTGAGGAGATAGGGGCTGAAGTTTTTTCAAGCGCTCTAGTAAAGGGTTTTAAGTGTCATCCCCAGTGCTATGTGTGCTGAGCCTGGCTTCATGTGTCTCATATGGCCATTAGAAGCAGCTTTCCAGTCAGCTGTGTGTCTCCAGGTGCACTAATTGGTTGCCATGGGGACCTTGGATGCATAACTATAGCAGGAGAAAGAAGGCTTGAAGCTAAGGAAACAGGACTCCAAGTAGGCCCTGACGCTCATCCTCTGTATCTATTCCTGATAAGGAGCTTGTGAGAACACAAGACTCTGCTAAACACATTAATACAATTTATTATCACAATCCTCAAAACACCCCATAATATCTTCAATGAGCTGAATTTTAGAAGCCCAGAATGGTTTCTGTAGCTCAAAGTTTGTGGGTGGAGATAGGTGGCGAAGCAGACACATATTAACTGTGTGTACAAGCAGCTGAACTGCAAGGTAGACCTCATAAAGCAACAAGTACAAGAATGTGTGTGTGTGTGTGTGTGTGTGTCTCGTTAATGATTGCTTCCTAAACAGCTGTGAGATCAAAGGCAAATCACTGACCTACTGTTTGAATGAGAAGCAGCTGAACTGCAGAGGATTTAGAGGCTCTAAACTTCTTCACATAGCGTGATTTCCTTAAGTCCCAGAATGAAAATAAGAACATCGTACGAATCCCCCGTCCTTCATGAACACAATGATGTGTTTTTCATGTCTGTACTTCGAAAAATGAGGCCACAACAGCGAGTTAAAAAAGTCTGAGCCTGAGCGATGATCCGGATTTTCCTGGAGAAAAATAACATTATGGTCAATGGGAGAGATTTCCGCCTTTTTTGGACAGTTGGTCACCTGCTGGCCAAGGGGTACGATTTAATGATTTGAAACCTCTTTTGTGAGAAGCAGGACACATATACCTCCATTTTGATGTATTATTTGTGTCAGTGGAGTGAGATTTGTGGGCGTGGGAGCGATATATTCGAGCGAGGTTCTGTCGATCAGAGACGAGGTCTGCACTCTAGCTGATGACATCATCACTCTAAACTCTCCAATACACACCCATTATAAAGCTTGAAATTTGCTGAAAACCACAAGTTGCTTAAAGCTAAATTGTGGAAAAACTGTAAGAGATATCAAAAAACTGATTACAACTATAATAGTCGACAAGTGAATGAACATTTTAAAGCAAAAATGAGGTCTCTAGGTGAAAGTATGCTGAAGTTATAAGGTCTAGAAGGTGGAAGAATAAAAGGAAGAATTGGAAGATTTCCCCATTGACTTCAATGTTAAAATTTTTGCACAAAAAGTTAAAAAAAACAAAAAGTATAAATGTTAGAAAAGTGAAAAGTAATAGCAAACGTGTCCTGAAGGAGTGGAATAGTTTAAAGTTTGAACGGTTGAAATCGGACAAACTGGGAAGGAGTTGAAAGCGGACGAAAAACGGCGGAAGAATAATAATAATAAAGAAACGGGAGAATAACAATAAGTGGAAATGCTTAATCAGCATTTCCACTTAACTAGAAAAATTGCATTTCCTTGCAGAAAATGCGTGGAAATGCTGAGTGCTGAAAGCTGAAAAAGCAATGCTAAACTTCTAATAAAACATGGAGAAAGGTATAAATGTTAAAGCTGTTGAAGGGGTGAAAAAGAAATATAAGTTGGATAATGGTCTAATTGGTTGAAGGACAAATAGTATGAATATGCTCTATAAACGGAAATTTTATTCATGCTGAAAGAGGCTAGAAAAATGTCTAAAATTGCACAAAGTTTGAATGAAGAAGGAAACTGCCTTAAAAGGCAGGAAGGTGAGAAGTGGCATAAGTTTAAGTTGTAGTACTAGAAGTAGTATAAGAGGTCAAGTCGTGATACTAGTAGTCATGTCAGCAGTAGAAGTAGTTTGAGAATAAAAGAAGTATAAGTCACAGTAGTAGAGAAAGTAGAAATAGTAGCAATAGCAGCAGTAGAGAAAGTAGAAATAGGAGCAATAGCAGTTGAAGTAGAGGGGAAAGTTCTAGTTCAATTGACATTAGCAGTAGTTGTATTACTTGAGGTAGGATTTTGTTTGAAGGATGGAGTAATGCATAAATATTAAAACTAATTTAAAACAGGGAAAATTTAAATAATTAAAAATCCTCAAGTATCAGAAAGTTTTAAAGTATTAGAAAGGTTTGAATCAGTTTGAATGAGTTTAAATTAGTTTGAAAAATTAAATGATAAATCATCACTGAGTGACTTTAAAATGTGAAAAATTTAAATGAATATAAATCCTGAATACACCCCATAATGTCCTCAATGAGCTTAAATTTTAAAGCCCTGAATGGTTTCTGTAGGTCAAAGGTCATGTGAGGAGATAGGGGCTGAAGTTTTTTCAAGCGCTCTAGGAAAGGGTTTTAAGTGTCATCCCCAGTGCTATGTGTACTGAGCCTGGCTTCATGTGTCTCATATGGCCACTAGAAGCAGCTTTCCAGTCAGCTGTGTGTCTCCAGGTGCACAAATTGGTTGCCATGGGGACCTTGGATGCATAACTATAGCAGGAGAAAGAAGGCTTGAAGCTAAAGAAACAGGACTCCAAGAAGGCCCTGACGCTCACCCTCTGTATATATTCATAAGGAGCTTGTGAGAACACAAGACTCTGCTGAACACATTAATACAATTTATCACAATCCTCAAAACACCCCATAATATCTTCAATGAGCTGAATTTTTGAAGGCCAGAATGGTTTCTGTAGCTCAAAGTTTGTGGGTGGAGATAGGTGGTGAAACAGACACATATTAACTGTGTGTACAAGCAGCTGAACTGCAAGGTGGACCTCAAAAAGCAACAAGTACAAAAATGTGTGTGCGTGTGTGTGTGTGTGTGTGTCTCGTTAATGACTGCATCCTAAACAGCTGTGAGATCAAAGGCAAATCACTAACCTACTGTTTGACTGAGAGGTGCTGAACTGCAGTGAATTTCAGCCTGTGAACTTCTTCACATAGCGTGATTTCCTTAAGTCCCAGAATGAAAATAAGAACATCGTACGAATCCTCCGTCCTTCATGAACACAATGAAGTATTTTTCATGTCTGTACTCCGACAAATGTGGCCACAACAGCGAGTTAAAAAAGTCTGAGCCTGAGTGACGATAAGGATTTTCTTGGAGAAGAAATACATTAGGGCCAATGGGGAGATATTTGCGCCTATCTGGACAGTTGGTCACCTGCTGGCCAAGGGGTAGGATTTAATGATTTGAAACCTCTTTTGTGAGAAGCAGGACACATATACCTCCATTTTGATGTATTATTTGTGTCAGTGGAGTGAGATTTGTGGGCGTGGGAGCGATATATTCGAGCGAGGTTCTGTCGATCAGAGACGAGGTCTGCACTCTAGCTGATGACATCATCACTCTAAACTCTCCAATACACACCCATTATAAAGCTTGAAATTTGCTGAAAACCACAAGTTGCATAAAGCTAAATTGTGGAAAAACTGTAAGAGATATCAAAAATCTGAGTACAACTATAATAGTCGACAAGTGAATGAACATTTTAAAGCAAAAATGAGGTCTCTAGGTGAAAGTATGCTGAAGTTATAAGGTCTAGAAGGTGGAAGAATGAAAGGAAGAAGTTGAAGATTTCCCCATTGACTTCAATGTTAAAATTTTTGCACAAAAAGTTAAAAAAAACAAAAAGTATAAAGGGTAGAAAGAAAAAAAATACACGCCATCATGTCCTGAAGGAGTGGAATAGTTTAAAGTTTGAACGGTTGAAATCGGACAAAGTTTGAAGGAGGAGAAGCGGTCCAAAAAAGGGACGGAAGAATAATAATAACTAGAAAAATTGCATTTCCTTGCAGAAAATGCGTGGAAATGCTGAGTGCTGAAAGCTGAAAAAGCAATGCTAAACTGCTAATAAAACATGGAGAAAGGTATAAATGTTAAAGCTGTTGAAGGGGTGAAAAAGAAGTATAGTAAGTAAGGACAAATAGTATGAATATGCTCTATAAAAGGAAATTTTATTCATGCTGAAAGAGGCTAGAAAAATGTCGAAAATTGCACAAAGTTCGATTGAAGAAGGAAATTGCCTTAAAAGGCAGGAAGGTGAGAAGTGGCATAAGTTTAAGTTGTAGTACTAGAAGTAGTATGATAAGAAGTCAAGTCGTGATACTAGTAGTCATGTCAGCAGTAGAAGTAGTTTGAGAATAAAAGAAGTATAGCAATAGCAGTTGAAGTAGAGAAAGTAGAAATAGGAGCAATAGCAGTTGAAGTAGAGGGGAAAGTCGTACTTGAGGTAGGATTTTGTTTGAAGGATGGAGTAATGCATGAATATTAAAACTAATTTAAAACATGGAAAATTTAAATACTTAAAAATCCTCAAGAATCAGTTTGAATGAGTTTAAATTAGTTTGAAAAATTTAATGATAAATCATCAATGAGTGACTTATAAAAGTGAAAAATGTAAATGAATATAAATCCTGAATACACCCCATAATGTCCTCAATGAGCTTAAATTTTAAAGCCCTGAATGGTTTCTGTAGGTCAAAGGTCATGTGAGGAGATAGGGGCTTAGGTTTTTTCAAGCGCTCTAGGAAAGGGTTTTAAGTGTCATCCCCAGTGCTATGTGTACTGAGCCTGGCTTCATGTGTCTCATTTGGCCATTAGAAGCAGCTTTCCAGTCAGCTGTGTGTCTCCAGGTGCACAAATTGGTTGCCATGGGGACCTTGGATGCATAACTATAGCAGGAGAAAGAAGGCTTGAAGCTAAGGAAACAGGACTCCAAGTAGGCCCTGACGCTCATCCTCTGTATATATTCATGATAAGGAGCTTGTGAGAACACAAGACTCTGCTGAACACATTAATACAATTTATTATCACAATCCTTAAAACACCCCATAATATCTTCAATGAGCTGAATTTTTGAAGCCCAGAATGGTTTCTGTAGCTCAAAGTTTGTGGGTGGAGATAGGTGGTGAAGCAGACACATATTAACTGTGTGTACAAGCAGGTGAACTGCAAGGTAGACCTGACAATGCAACAAGTACAAGAATGTGTGTGTGTGTGTGTGTGTGTGTGTGTGTGTGTGTGTGTGTCTCGTTAATGATTGCATCCTAAACAGCTGTGAGATCAAAGGCAAATCACTGACCTACTGTTTGAATGAGAAGTGCTGAACTGCTGAGGATTTATAGCCTCTGAACTTCTTCACATAGCGTGATTTCCTTAAGTCCCAGAATGAAAATAAGAACATCGTACGAATCCTCCGCCTTCATGAACACAATGATGTGTTTTTCATGTCTGTACTCCGAAAAATGTGGCCACAACAGCGAGTTAAAAAAGTCTGAGCCTGAGTGGGGATAAGGATTTTCTTGGAGAAGAAATACATTAGGTCTAATGGGGAGAGATTTCCGCCTATTTGGACAGTTGGTCACCTGCTGGCCAAGGGGTACGATTTAATGATTTGAAACCTCTTTTGTGAGAAGCAGGACACATATACCTCCATTTTGATGTATTTTTTATGGCTGTGGAGTGAGATTTGTGGGCGTGGGAGCGATATATTCGAGCGAGGTTCTGTCGATCAGAGACGAGGTCTGCACTCTAGCTTTTCAAATCATCACTCTAGCCTCTCCAATACACCCCCATTATAAAGCCTGAAATTTGCTGAAAACCACAAGTTGCTTAAAGCTAAATTGTGGAAAACTGTAAAAGATAGCACAAAAAAGTTAATACAACATCAATAGTCGACAAGACAATGAACATTTTAAAGCAAAAATGAGGTCTCTAGGTGAAAGTATGCTGAAGTTATAAGGCTTAGAAGGTGGAAGAAAAAAGGAAGAATTGAAGATTTCCCCATTCATTTCTATGGGAAAAAAAGTTTGAGACAAAAAGTGAAAAATAATAAAAAGTATAAAGGGTAGAAAAGAGAAAAGTAATAGCCATCATGTCCCGATGGAGTGTAATAGTTTAAAGTTTGAACGGTTGAAATCGGACAAAGTTTGAAGGAGGAGAAGCGGTCCAAAGAAACGTATGGGGAGAGTGTTAAGTATAATACTAGAAAAATTGCATTTCCTTGCAGAAAATGCGTGGAAATGCTGAGTGCTGAAAGCTGAAAAAGCAATGCTAAACTGCTAATAAAACATGGAGAAAGGCATAAATGTTAAAGCTGTTGAAGGGGTGAAAAAGAAATATAAGTTGGATAATAGTTTAATTGGTTGAAGGACAAATAGTATGAATATGCTCTATAAAAGGAAATTTTATTCATGCTGAAAGAGGCTAGAAAAATGTCTAAAATTGCACAAAGTTTGAATGAAGAAGGAAACTGCCTTTAAAAGGCAGGAAGGTGAGAAGTGGCATAAGTTTAAGTTGTAGTACTAGAAGAAGTATGATAAGAAGTCAAGTCGTGATACTAGTAGTCATGTCAGCAGTAGAAGTAGATTGAGAATAAAAGAAGTATAAGTCAAAGTAGTAAAGAAAGTAGAAATAGTAGCAATAGCAGCAGTAGAGAAAGTAGAAATAGGAGCAATAGCAGTTGAAGTAGAGGGGAAAGTTCTAGTTTAATTGACATAAGTAGTTGTAGTACTAGAGGTAGGATTTTGTTTGAAGGACGGAATAATGCATAAATATTAAAACTAATATAAAACAGGGAAAATTTTATTAATTAAAAATCCTCAAGTATCAGACAGTTTTTAAGTATTAGAAAGGTTTGAATCATTTTGAATGAGTTTAAATTAGTTTGAAAAATTAAATGATAAATAATCACTGAGTGACTTTAAAATGTGAAACATTTAAATGAATATAAATCCTAAATACACCCCATAATGTCCTCAATGAGCTTAAATTTTAAAGCCCTGAATGGTTTCTGTAGGTCAAAGGTCATGTGAGGAGATAGGGGCTGAAGGTTTTTCAAGCGCTCTAGGAAAGGGTTTTAAGTGTCATCCCCAGTGCTATGTGTACTGAGCCTGGCTTCATGTGTCTCATATGGCCATTAGAAGCAGCTTTCCAGTCAGCTGTGTGTCTCCAGGTGCACAAATTGGTTGCCATGGGGACCTTGGATGAATAACTATAGCAGGAGAAAGAAGGCTTGAAGCTAAGGAAACAGGACTCCAAGTAGGCCCTGACGCTCATCCTCTGTATAAATTCATAAGGAGCTTGTGAGAACACAAGATTTTGCTGAACACATTAATACAATTTATTATCACAATCCTCAAAACACCCCATAATATCTTCAATGAGCTGAATTTTTCAAGCCCAGAATGGTTTCTGTAGCTCAAAGTTTGTGGGTGGAGATAGGTGGTGAAGCAGACACATATTATCTGTGTGTACAAGCAGGTGAACTGCAAGGTAGACCTGACAAAGCAACAAGTACAAGAATGTGTGTGTGTGTGTGTGTGTGTCTCATTAATGACTGCATCCCTAACAGCTGTGAGATCAAAGGCAAATCACTGACCTACTGTTTGAATGACAAGCAGCTGAACAGCAGAGGATTAGAAGCCTGTGAACTTCTTCACATAGCGTGATTTCCTTAAGTCCCAGAATGAAAATAAGAACATCGTACGAATCCTCCGTCCTTCATGAACACAATGATGTGTTTTTCATGTCTGTACTCCGAAAAATGTGGCCACAACAGCGAGTTAAAAAAGTCTGAGCCTGAGTGACGATAAGGATTTTCTTGGAGAAGAAATACATTAGGGCCAATGGGGAGATATTTGCGCCTATCTGGACAGTTGGTCACCTGCTGGCCAAGGGGTACGATTTAATGATTTGAAACCTCTTTTGTGAGAAGCAGGACACATATACCTCCATTTTGATGTATTATTTGTGTCAGTGGAGTGAGATTTGTGGGCGTGGGAGCGATATATTCGAGCGAGGTTCTGTCGATCAGAGACGAGGTCTGCACTCTAGCTGATGACATCATCACTCTAAACTCTCCAATACACACCCATTATAAAGCTTGAAATTTGCTGAAAACCACAAGTTGCATAAAGCTAAATTGTGGAAAAACTGTAAAAGATATCAAAAAACTGAGTACAACTATAATAGTCGACAAGTGAATGAACATTTTAAAGCAAAAATGAGGTCTCTAGGTGAAAGTATGCTGAAGTTATAAGGTCTAGAAGGTGGAAGAATAAAAGGAAGAATTGGAAGATTTCCCCATTGACTTCAATGTTAAAATTTTTGCACAAAAAGTTAAAAAAAACAAAAAGTATAAAGGGTAGAAAGAAAAAAAATACACGCAATAATGTCCTGAAGGAGTGGAATAGTTTAAAGTTTGAATGGTTGAAATCGGACAAAGTTTGAAGGAGGAGAAGCGGTCCAAAAAAGGGACGGAAGAATAATAATAATAAGTTTAATAAAGAAACGGGAGAATAACAATAAGTGGAAATGCCTATCAGCATTTCCACTTAATAATAATAATAATAATAAAGAAACGGGAGAATAACAATAAGTGGAAATGCTTAATCAGCATTTCCACTTAACTAGAAAAATTGCATTTCCTTGCAGAAAATGCGTGGAAATGCTGAGTGCTGAAAGCTGAAAAAGCAATGCTAAACTGCTAATAAAACATGGAGAAAGGTATAAATGTTAAAGCTGTTGAAGGGGTGAACAGAAATATAAGTTGGATAATTGATTAATTGGTTGAAGGACAAATAGTATGAATATGCTCTATAAAAGGAAATTTTATTCATGCTGAAAGAGGCTAGAAAAATGTCTCAAATTGCACAAAGTTTGAATGAAGAAGGAAATTGCCTTAAAAGGCAGGAAGGTGAGAAGTGGCATAAGTTTAAATTGTAGTACTAGAAGTAGTATGATAAGAAGTCAAGTAGTGATACTAGTAGTCATGTCAGCAGTAGAAGTAGATTGAGAATAAAAGAAGTATAAGTCAAAGTAGTAAAGAAAGTAGAAATAGGAGCAATAGCAGTTGAAGGAGAGGGGAAAGTTCTAGTTTAATTGACATTAGCAGTAGTTGTTGTACTTGAGGTAGGATTTTGTTTGAATGATGGAGTAATGCATAAATATTAAAACTAATTTAAAACAGGGAAATTTTAAATTATCAAAAGTCCTCAAGTATCAGAAAGTTTTGAAGTATTAGAAAGGTTTGAATCAGTTTGAATGAGTTTAAATTAGTTTGAAAAATTAAATGATAAATCATCACTGACTGAGTTTTAAAATGTGAAAAATTTAAATGAATATAAATCCTAAATGCACCCAATAATGTCCTCAATGAGCTTAAATTTCAAAGCCCTGAATGGTTTCTGTAGGTCAAAGGTCATGTGAGGAGATAGGGGCTGAAGTTTTTTCCAACGCTCTAGGAAAGGGTTTTAAGTGTCATCCCCAGTGCTATGTGTACTGAGCCTGGCTTCATGTGTCTCATATGGCCATTAGAAGCAGCTTTCCAGTCAGCTGTGTGTCTCCAGGTGCACAAATTGGTTGCCATGGGGACCTTGGATGCATAACTATAGCAGGAGAAAGAAGGCTTGAAGCTAAAGAAACAGGACTCCAAGTAGGCCCTGACGCTCATCCTCTGTATATATTCATAAGGAGCTTGTGAGAACACAAGACTCTGCTGAACACATTAATACAATTTATTATCACAATCCTCAAAACACCCCATAATATCTTCAATGAGCTGAATTTTTGAAGCCCAGAATGGTTTCTGTAGCTCAAAGTTTGTGGGTGGAGATAGGTGGTGAAGCAGACACATATTAACTGTGTGTACAAGCAGCTGAACTGCGAGGTGGACCTCAAAAAGTAACAAGTACAAGAATGTGTGTGCGTGTGTGTGTCGTTAATGACTGCATCCTAAACAGCTGTGAGATCAAAGGCAAATCACTAACCTACTGTTTGACTGAGAGGTGCTGAACTGCAGTGAATTTCAGCCTGTGAACTTCTTCACATAGCGTGATTTCCTTAAGTCCCAGAATGAAAATAAGAACATCGTACGAATCCTCCGTCCTTCATGAACACAATGATGTGTTTTTCATGTCTGTACTTCGAAAAATGAGGCCACAACAGCGAGTTAAAAAAGTCTGAGCTTGAGCGATGATCCGGATTTTCTTGGAGAAAAATAACATTAGGTCAATGGGAGAGATTTCCGCCTTTTTGGACAGTTGGTCACCTGCTGGCCAAGGGGTACGATTTAATGATTTGAAACCTCTTTTGTGAGAAGCAGGACACATATACCTCCATTTTGATGTATTATTTGTGTCAGTGGAGTGAGATTTGTGGGCGTGGGAGCGATATATTCGAGCGAGGTTCTGTCGATCAGAGACGAGGTCTGCACTCTAGCTGATGACATCATCACTCTAAACTCTCCAATACACACCCATTATAAAGCTTGAAATCTGCTGAAAACCACAAGTTGCTTAAAGCTAAATTGTGGAAAAACTGTAAAAGATATCAAAAAACTGAGTACAACTATAATAGTCGACAAGTGAATGAACATTTTAAAGCAAAAATGAGGTCTCTAGGTGAAAGTATGCTGAAGTTATAAGGTCTAGAAGGTGGAAGAAAAAAAGGAAGAAGTGGAAGATTTCCCCATTGACTTCAATGTTAAAATTTTTGCACAAAAAGTTAAAAAAATCAAAAAGTATAAAGGGTAGAAAAGTGAAAAGTAATAGCACACATGTCCTGAAGGAGTGGAATAGTTTAAAGTTTGAATGGTTGAAATCGGACAAAGTTTGAAGGAGGAGAAGCGTGACAAAAAACGGCGGAAGAATAATAATAATAAGACTAGAAAAATTGCATTTCCTTGCAGAAAATGCGTGGAAATGCTGAGTGCTGAAAGCTGAAAAAGCAATGCTAAACTGCTAATAAAACATGGAGAAAGGTATAAATGTTAAAGCTGTTGAAGGAATGAAAAAGAAAAATAAGTTGGATAACTACTTAATTGGTTGAAGGACAAATAGTATGAATATGCTCTATAAAAGGAAATTTTATTCATGCTGAAAGAGGCTAGAAAAATGTCTAAAATTGCACAAAGTTTGAATGAAGAAGGAAATTGCCTTAAAAGGCAGGAAGGTGAGAAGTGGCATAAGTTTAAATTGTAGTATAAGAAGTCAAGTCGTGATACTAGTAGTCATGTCAGCAGTAGAAGTAGATTGAGAATAAAAGAAGTATAAGTCAAAGTAGTAAAGAAAGTAGAAATAGGAGCAATAGCAGTTGAAGTAGAGGGGAAAGTTCTAGTTTAATTGACATTAGCAGTAGTTGTCGTACTTGAGGTAGGATTTTGTTTGAATGATGGAGTAATGCATAAATATTAAAACTAATTTAAAACAGGGAAAATTTAAATTATCAAAAGTCCTCAAGTATCAGAAAGTTTTGAAGTATTAGAAAGGTTTGAATCAGTTTGAATGAGTTTAAATTAGTTTGAAAAATTAAATGATAAATCATCACTGACTGAGTTTTAAAATGTGAAAAATTTAAATGAATAACAATCCTAAATACACCCAATAATGTCCTCAATGAGCTTAAATTTCAAAGCCCTGAATGGTTTCTGTAGGTCAAAGGTCATGTGAGGAGATAGGGGCTGAAGTTTTTTCCAACGCTCTAGGAAAGGGTTTTAAGTGTCATCCCAATTGCTATGTGTACTGAGCCTGGCTTCATGTGTCTCATATGGCCACTAGAAGCAGCTTTCCAGTCAGCTGTGTGTCTCCAGGTGCACAAATTGGTTGCCATGGGGACCTTGGATGCATAACTATAGCAGGAGAAAGAAGGCTTGAAGCTAAAGAAACAGGACTCCAAGTAGGCCCTGACGCTCACCCTCTGTATATATTCATAAGGAGCTTGTGAGAACACAAGATTTTGCTGAACACATTAATACAATTTATTATCACAATCCTCAAAACACCCCATAATATCTTCAATGAGCTGAATTTTTCAAGCCCAGAATGGTTTCTGTAGCTCAAAGTTTGTGGGTGGAGATAGGTGGTGAAGCAGACACATATTATCTGTGTGTACAAGCAGGTGAACTGCAAGGTAGACCTGACAATGCAACAAGTACAAGAAATGTGTGTGTGTGTGTGTCTCATTAATGACTGCATCCCTAACAGCTGTGAGATCAAAGGCAAATCACTGACCTACTGTTTGAATGAGAAGCAGCTGAACAGCAGAGGATTTGAAGCCTGTGAACTTCTTCACATAGCGTGATTTCCTTAAGTCCCAGAATGAAAATAAGAACATCGTACGAATCCTCCGTCCTTCATGAACACAATGATGTGGTTTTCATGTATGTACTCCGAAAAATGTGGCCACAACAGCGAGTTAAAAAAGTCTGAGCCTGAGTGGGGATAAGGATTTTCTTGGAGAAGAAATACATTAGGTCTAATGGGGAGAGATTTCCGCCCATTTGGACAGTTGGTCACCTGCTGGCCAAGGGGTAGGATTTAATGATTTGAAACCTCTTTTGTGAGAAGCAGGACACATATACCTCCATTTTGATGTATTATTTATGGCTCTGGAGTGAGATTTGTGGGCGTGGGAGCGATATATTCGAGCGAGGTTCTGTCGATCAGAGACGAGGTCTGCACTCTAGCTGATGACATCATCACTCTAAGCCTCTCCAATACACACCCATTATAAAGCCTGAAATTTGCTGAAAACCACAAGTTGCATAAAGCTAAATTGTGGAAAAACTGTAAAAGATAGCACAAAAAGGTTAATACAATATCAACAGTCGACAAGACAATGAATATTTTAAAGCAAAAATGAGGTCTCTAGGTGAAAGTATGCTGAAGTTATAAGGCTTAGAAGGTGGACGAATAGCAGGAAGCATTGAAAGATTTCCCCATTCATTTCTATGGGAAAAAAAGTTTGGCACAAAAAGTGAAAAATAATAAAAAGTATAAAGGGTAGAAAAGAGAAAAGTAATAGCCATCATGTCCTGAAGGAGTGGAATAGTTTAAAGTTTGAACGGTTGAAATCGGACAAAGTTTGAAGGAGGAGAAGCGGTCCAAAGAAACGTATGGGGAGAGTGTTAAGTATAATACTAGAAAAATTGCATTTCCTTGCAGAAAATGCGTGGAAATGCTGAGTGCTGAAAGCTGAAAAAGCAGTGCTAAACTGCTAATAAAACATGGAGAAAGGTATAAATGTTAAAGCTGTTGAAGGGGTGAAAGAAATATAAGTTGGATAATTGATTAATTGGTTGAAGGACAAATAGTATGAATATGCTCTATAAAAGGAAATTTTATTCATGCTGAAAGAGGCTAGAAAAATGTCGAAAATTGCACAAAGTTTGAATGAAGAAGGAAATTGCCTTAAAAGGCAGGAAGGTGAGAAGTGGCATAAGTTTAAATTGTAGTACTAGAAGTAGTATGATAAGAAGTCAAGTCGTGATACTAGTAGTCATGTCAGCAGTAGAAGTAGATTGAGAATAAAAGAAGTATAAGTCAAAGTAGTAAAGAAAGTAGAAATAGGAGCAATAGCAGTTGAAGTAGAGGGGAAAGTTCTAGTTTAATTGACATTAGCAGTAGTTGTCGTACTTGAGGTAGGATTTTGTTTGAATGATGGAGTAATGCATAAATATTAAAACTAATTTAAAACAGGGAAATTTTAAATTATCAAAAGTCCTCAAGTATCAGAAAGTTTTGAAGTATTAGAAAGGTTTGAATCAGTTTGAATGAGTTTAAATTAGTTTGAAAAATTAAATGATAAATCATCACTGACTGACTTTTAAAATGTGAAAAATTTAAATGAATAACAATCCTAAATACACCCAATAATGTCCTCAATGAGCTTAAATTTCAAAGCCCTGAATGGTTTCTGTAGGTCAAAGGTCATGTGAGGAGATAGGGGCTGAAGTTTTCCAACGCTCTAGGAAAGGGTTTTAAGTGTCATCCCAATTGCTATGTGTACTGAGCCTGGCTTCATGTGTCTCATATGGCCACTAGAAGCAGCTTTCCAGTCAGCTGTGTGTCTCCAGGTGCACAAATTGGTTGCCATGGGGACCTTGGATGCATAACTATAGCAGGAGAAAGAAGGCTTGAAGCTAAAGAAACAGGACTCCAAGTAGGCCCTGACGCTCACCCTCTGTATATATTCATAAGGAGCTTGTGAGAACACTAGACTCTGCTGAACACATTAATACAATTTATTATCACAATCCTCAAAACACCCCATAATATCTTCAATGAGCTGAATTTTTGAAGCCCAGAATGGTTTCTGTAGCTCAAAGTTTGTGGGTGGAGATAGGTGGTGAAGCAGACACATATTAACTGTGTGTACAAGCAGCTGAACTGCAAGGTGGACCTCAAAAAGCAACAAGTACAAGAATGTGTGTGTGTGTGTGTGTGTCTCGTTAATGACTGCATCCTAAACAGCTGTGAGATCAAAGGCAAATCACTAACCTACTGTTTGACTGAGAGGTGCTGAACTGCAGTGAATTTCAGCCTGTGAACTTCTTCACATAGCGTGATTTCCTTAAGGCCCAGAATGAAAATAAGAACATCGTACGAATCCTCCGCCCTTCATGAACACAATGATGTCTTTTTCATGTCTGTACTCCGAAAAATGTGGCCACAACAGCGAGTTAAAAAAGTCTGAGCCTGAGTGGGGATAAGGATTTTCTTGGAGAAGAAATACATTAGGTCTAATGGGGAGAGATTTCCGCCTATTTGGACAGTTGGTCACCTGCTGGCCAAGGGGTAGGATTTAATGATTTGAAACCTCTTTTGTGAGAAGCAGGACACATATACCTCCATTTTGATGTATTTTTTATGGCTGTGGAGTGAGATTTGTGGGCATGGGAGCGATATATTCGAGCGAGGTTCTGTCGATCAGAGACGAGGTCTGCACTCTAGCTTTTCAAATCATCACTCTAGCCTCTCCAATACACCCCTATTATAAAGCCTGAAATTTGCTGAAAACCACAAGTTGCATAAAGCTAAATTGTGGAAAAACTGTAAAAGATAGCACAAAGAGGTTAATACAACATCAATAGTCGACAAGACAATGAACATTTTAAAGCAAAAATGAGGTCTCTAGGTGAAAGTATGCTGAAGTTATAAGGTCTAGAAGGTGGACGAATAACAGGAAGAATTGAAAGATTTCCCCATTCATTTCTATGGGAAAAAAGTTTGGCACAAAAAGTGAAAAATAATAAAAAGTATAAAGGGTAGAAAAGAGAAAAGTAATAGCCATCATGTCCTGAAGGAGTGGAATAGTTAAAAGTTTGAACGGTTGAAATCGGACAAAGTTTGAAGGAGGAGAAGCGGTCCAAAGAAACGTATGGGGAGAGTGTTAAGTATAATACTAGAAAAATTGCATTTCCTTGCAGAAAATGCGTGGAAATGCTGAGTGCTGAAAGCTGAAAAAGCAATGCTAAACTGCTAATAAAACATGGAGAAAGGTATAAATGTTAAAGCTGTTGAAGGGGTGAACAGAAATATAAGTTGGATAATTGATTAATTGGTTGAAGGACAAATAGTATGAATATGCTCTATAAAAGGAAATTTTATTCATGCTGAAAGAGGCTAGAAAAATGTCTAAAATTGCACAAAGTTTGAATGAAGAAGGAAATTGCCTTAAAAGGCAGGAAGGTGAGAAGTGGCATAAGTTTAAATTGTAGTACTAGAAGTAGTATGATAAGAAGTCAAGTCGTGATACTAGTAGTCATGTCAGCAGTAGAAGTAGATTGAGAATAAAAGAAGTATAAGTCAAATTAGTAAAGAAAGTAGAAATAGGAGCAATAGCAGTTGAAGTAGAGGGGAAAGTTCTAGTTTAATTGACATTAGCAGTAGTTGTCGTACTTGAGGTAGGATTTTGTTTGAATGATGGAGTAATGCATAAATATTAAAACTAATTTAAAACAGGGAAATTTTAAATTATCAAAAGTCCTCAAGTATCAGAAAGTTTTGAAGTATTAGAAAGGTTTGAATCAGTTTGAATGAGTTTAAATTAGTTTGAAAAATTAAATGATAAATCATCACTGAGTGACTTTAAAATGTGAAAAATTTAAATGAATAACAATCCTAAATACACCCAATAATGTCCTCAATGAGCTTAAATTTCAAAGCCCTGAATGGTTTCTGTAGGTCAAAGGTCATGTGAGGAGATAGGGGCTGAAGTTTTTTCCAACGCTCTAGGAAAGGGTTTTAAGTGTCATCCCAATTGCTATGTGTACTGAGCCTGGCTTCATGTGTCTCATATGGCCACTAGAAGCAGCTTTCCAGTCAGCTGTGTGTCTCCAGGTGCACAAATTGGTTGCCATGGGGACCTTGGATGCATAACTATAGCAGGAGAAAGAAGGCTTGAAGCTAAAGAAACAGGACTCCAAGTAGGCCCTGACGCTCACCCTCTGTATATATTCATAAGGAGCTTGTGAGAACACAAGACTCTGCTGAACACATTAATACAATTTATTATCACAATCCTCAAAACACCCCATAATATCTTCAATGAGCTGAATTTTTGAAGCCCAGAATGGTTTCTGTAGCTCAAAGTTTGTGGGTGGAGATAGGTGGTGAAGCAGACACATATTAACTGTGTGTACAAGCAGCTGAACTGCAAGGTGGACCTCAAAAAGCAACAAGTACAAGAATGTGTGTGCGTGTGTGTGTGTGTGTGTGTCTCGTTAATGACTGCATCCTAAACAGCTGTGAGATCAAAGGCAAATCACTAACCTACTGTTTGAACTGAGAAGGTGCTGAACTGCAGTGAATTTCAGCCTGTGAACTTCTTCACATAGCGTGATTTCCTTAAGTCCCAGAATGAAAATAAGAACATCGTACGAATCCTCCGTCCTTCATGAACACAATGATGTGTTTTTCATGTCTGTACTTCGAAAAATGAGGCCACAACAGCGAGTTAAAAAAGTCTGAGCCTGAGTGGGGATAAGGATTTTCTTGGAGAAGAAATACATTAGGTCTAATGGGGAGAGATTTCCGCCTATTTGGACAGTTGGTCACCTGCTGGCCAAGGGGTAGGATTTAATGATTTGAAACCTCTTTTGTGAGAAGCAGGACACATATACCTCCATTTTGATGTATTTTTTATGGCTGTGGAGTGAGATTTGTGGGCGTGGGAGCGATATATTCGAGCGAGGTTCTGTCGATCAGAGACGAGGTCTGCACTCTAGCTGATGACATCATCACTCTAAACTCTCCAATACACACCCATTATAAAGCTTGAAATTTGCTGAAAACCACAAGTTGCTTAAAGCTAAATTGTGGAAAAACTGTAAAAGATATCAAAAAACTGAGTACAACTATAATAGTCGACAAGTGAATGAACATTTTAAAGCAAAAATGAGGTCTCTAGGTGAAAGTATGTGGAAGTTATAAGACTTTGAAGGTGGAAGAAAAAAAGGAAGAAGTGGAAGATTTCCCCATTGACTTCAATGTTAAAATTTTTGCACAAAAAGTTAAAAATATCAAAAAGTATAAAGGGTAGAAGAGTGAAAAGTAATAGCAATAATGTCCTGAAGGAGTGGAATAGTTTAAAGTTTGAACGGTTGAAATCGGACAAAGTTTGAAGGAGGAGAAGCGGTCCAAAAAAGGGACGGAAGAATAATAAGTTTAATAATAATAATAATAATAAAGAAACGGGAGAATAACAATAAGTGGAAATGCTTAATCAGCATTTCCACTTAATTAAAGAAACAGGAGAATAACAATAAGTGGAAATGCTTAATCAGCATTTCCACTTAACTAGAAAAATTGCATTTCCTTGCAGAAAATGCGTGGAAATGCTGAGTGCTGAAAGCTGAAAAAGCAATGCTAAACTGCTAATAAAACATGGAGAAATGTATAAATGTTAAAGCTGTTGAAGGGGTGTGAAAGAAATGTAAGTTGGATAATTGATTAATTGGTTGAAGGACAAATAGTATGAATATGCTCTATAAAAAGAAATTTTATTCATGCTGAAAGAGGCTAGAAAAATGTCTAAAATTGCACAAAGTTTGAATGAAGAAGGAAATTGCCTTAAAAGGCAGGAAGGTGAGAAGTGGCATAAGTTTAATTTTTTAAGTATTAGAAAGGTTTGAATCAGTTTGAATCAGTTCAAATTAGTTTGAATAATTAAATGATAAATCATCACTGAGTGACTTTAAAATGTGAAAAATCTAAATGTATATAAATCCTAAATACACCCCCTAATGTCCTCAATGAGCTCAAATTTTAAAGCCCTGAATGGTTTCTGTAGGTCAAAGGTCATGTGAGGAGATAGGGGCTGAAGTTTTTTCAAGCGCTCTAGGAAAGGGTTTTAAGTGTCATCCCCAGTGCTATGTGTGCTGAGCCTAGCTTCATGTGTCTCATATGGCCATTAGAAGCAGCTTTCCAGTCAGCTGTGTGTCTCCAGGTGCACAAATTGGTTGCCATGGGGACCTTGGATGCATAACTATAGCAGGAGAAAGAAGGCTTGAAGCTAAGGAAACAGGACTCCAAGTAGGCCCTGACGCTCATCCTCTGTATCTATTCCTGATAAGGAGCTTGTGAGAACACAAGACTCTGCTAAACACATTAATACAATTTATAATCACAATCCTCAAAACACCCCATAATATCTTCAATGAGCTGAATTTTAGAAGCCCAGAATGGTTTCTGTAGCTCAAAGTTTGTGGGTGGAGATAGGTGGCGAAGCAGACACATATTAACTGTGTGTACAAGCAGCTGAACTGCAAGGTAGACCTCATAAAGCAACAAGTACAAGAATGTGTGTGTGTGTGTGTGTGTGTGTGTGTGTGTGTGTGTGTGTGTGTGTGTCTCGTTAATGACTGCATCCTAAACAGCTGTGAGATCAAAGGCAAATCACTGACCTAATGTTTGAATGAGAAGCAGCTGAACTGCAGAGGATTTAGAGGCTCTAAACTTCTTCACATAGCGTGATTTCCTTAAGTCACAGAATGAAAATAAGAACATCGTACGAATCCTCCGCCCTTCATGAACACAATGATGTCTTTTTCATGTCTGTACTTCGAAAAATGAGGCCACAACAGCGAGTTAAAAAAGTCTGAGCCTGAGCGATGATCCGGATTTTCTTGGAGAAGAAATACATTAGGTC